TGTCCCATGTAGGCGGGGGAAGCAAAAAGAGATCAAGGGGTAACCCAGCTTAGCTGGATGCGTCAACTATTCGCGACGAGAGCAGGATTTGAACCTACGCGGGCGAACCCAACAGATTTCTAGTCTGTCGCCTTAACCACTCGGCCATCTCGCCCTTGGATCTTGTTGGAGACTCATACCGTATTCAGCTTCATGATCCTACACAGCAATGTTCCGCTGACTGTGTCAATGAGCGAAGCATCATGAGATGGAGAAAAGTATCTGGTCGATTTCATCCCAGAGATCTTTTATTTGTCCAACCACATCTGGTGTGTGGGGCTTTCCCCTCTGGCACATAGATATCTTTCCCATGGTATTCAAATCAACAGGCAATAAGACAGGTAAAGACATGGCTTGTTGACTTCAGAGTTCCTGACTTTTCACTTCCCATAAAGCGTGTGTGTCAAGCATGACACGTCTTCATTGAAATATACATTGCTCTATAGTTCATTGCTGGAAAACTGCAATACGGTGTCGCTTCAGCGATCAACTTGAAGCATGTCGCGCAAAGGCTCGACTAATTGCAATGCTGGTGGCGGGATACGACATTATTTTGTCATGAACGCCATATTTGGGGATTTCCAAACGGATAGGCCCCCTTTTGGTTGGCCATACTGTCAGTGAGCCACCCTCTCCACGTTGTTCTTGCCTATCATGCAGTCTTTCGTCTATGGACTTCTGGCCATCATCTCCAGAGTAGTTTCCGAGAGTCTCCACGACCCGGATAGCCTCGTGGAATAGCCGTTTTGAATGCTCCATGGAGATATCAGCGTCGTCTTCAGCATGGAGGAAGGTGATGTCGTATTGTTGAGCAGTGGTAATAAACTCTGCTATTCTTTGCATGTTGTCCCACTTGCTGCTCAGTTGACTGGTAAAGTACTTGAAAAGCGGCGGTATTTTTGCGATAGGTGAAAGGACCGGGATGATGCCACCGATCCGATACGTGGCTGTGAGTCGAGCCATATCAGAGAATGTCGCTGTTACCACCAATCCTGCAAATCGAATTTCGGGATACCGCTTGGAGTACTCGTTTACCAGAGCCAGGGCAACAGCAGAGCCCAGACTCTGTCCATATATAACGATATTCTCGGGGGGGATTTCAGCTGTATTGAGGGCCCAGTCTGTCACGGCCAGAGCGTCGTTGATAACACCTTGTTCAGAAGGGTAGCCGCTTGATTCGCCATAGCCACGATAATCGAACGCCAAGATGTGCGTGTTCAAAGGGTCTGCAGCATAGAGGGAGCGGTAGCTGTCAGGTCGCCAGCCACTGGCCATGGTACCACTGGTTCCATGGAAGTACAAGACAAGGCGAGCGCTCTTATTCTCCTTGAGAAGACGAAAATTCAGCGTCGATCCGAAGTCATGAACCAATCCACCCTCGAGACCCTGGCTCAAAATTTGAGGCTGGTTCTCTATATATGCTACCAAGGGGAGTATGTGCCAAGAGTGTAATCTCTCTCCATCAGTGGTGCTAATATAGAATGGAGTGACTTGGTGGCGGGCAAAGCCAAACTGCTCCGGCACGTTCAGATCCTTAGACCAGGTTAGGGCAACTCTATGCAGGTAGGTTACGTGTGCCTGTAGCGATGGGACAGCGATCAGGGACCCAAGAATGCCGAAGTAGAGAATGGCTGGGCCACCGATCGTGAGACAGAGCACAATGATGGTTGATCGAAGAGCTGAAGGCTCCATGGCTGATCATAGGCTGCAACAGCAGTCGGGCACGGCCGAAATAGTTCCCAGCGCCGAGATAAATGTTGTGATGTGAAGAAATATTTTGGTGGACTAATTGGAAGGATAGCGGATGCATGATTCCACCAGGTAAGGTATCATAACCATCACGTAAGCCTCCACTGTTGGTCCAGGGGTATTTACTATCCTGGAAGACATAGTGGCATATTCGGTCCAGATCCAATCCTCGACATGAGCCGTCATAATTTGCGGTTCCGTGAGGCCATCGACATGACAAGGTTTTCATAAGAGTCCAGTATGACGAGCACAAATCTACGAACTCGGACACCCTTCCTGATGTTTCGGTTGGTCATGATAACCAGCTGATGGTTTAAGCCCTCACCTCCGACCTTTGACAATAATCAAGGTTGAAAGTCCGTTCCATATAATGTTGGCTGTTCACCATGGCAGCATAGTCAATGTCTGAGTTGACAATGGAGGTGGGAACATAGATGACTTACAAGAGTTAGATTATTCGTTTCATTTCTCTTAGGCATGGTTTAAATTGGAACAGGATAGTTTCAAATACTGGTTTCGTGAATATGTTGTTATGTGTAGCGGATGATGAGGACCAGTGAGGGTAATCCTGATCATTAGTTATCCAACCTCTATTAGGAATCATGTACTGTATGTCTCCGGCCACCCCGCTCCTGCGTCCGCTTGTGCGTCGATGTGTGACCGAAGGACCCGAATGATCTCATCGTATGACTAGGGGATGCCAGAATAATGATTGAATGGCGGATATTGATCAAATCATAGTCTAAAATACCCTAACACCATTCCTTTCCTTTGTTTACCATATTACACTGTGATTTGGTCAATAAAAAGCATGGAGTTACGACTTAATGACATGGACTTGTCGAAGTTGACCAAGAAAGTCATCACCGTGCCCCGTGGCTTCGAGTACACCTACTACACTGTTGCAGCACAAGATTCCAAACCAACGCTCCTTTTGTTTCACGGATGGCCGGATACCTCGCGTCTCTGGGCAGGATTCATCAACCAGTTCCTCATCCCGAATGGGTACGGCGTGATTGCCGTCGACTGCCTTGGGTTTGGCGGATCGTCTAAGCCAACCGACCCTGTGCATTACAGTTGGCAGAAGATGGCGGCAGATGCTCTTCACATCCTTGATACCGAAGAGATTCTTCAGGTCGTTTCTGTTGGACACGACTGGGGCAGTGCCGTGGCCTCCCGGTTCTACAATTTCCATCCTTCGCGTGTATCTGGCCTTGTCAACGTGAATGTCAGATACATGCCGCCTATCACAAACTTTGACCTGGATACCATGAATAAGCGAACGAAAGAAGCATTTGGATACAGTCCTAACATATACTGGTCCTTTATGGTTGCTGAGGACAGTGCGGATATCATGGATAATCACCTCGAGTCTCTTTACAGTGTCATGTTCGGATCCCCCGAGACCTACCTCGAGACGCTATGTGCACCTGATGGATTGCGCAACTTCCTCACACAAGACTGCACACAGCCTACCATGCCATACGCCACAGCCGAGCACAAGGCGGACTTTATAGATCGGGTTGGAAAGGATGGCGTCGCGTCAACACTATGCCATTACACGGCGCTCACAACTGGTGTGCAGACAAGGTCCGACAGTCTCCTCGATCAGAAGCCAGTTGATGTCCCTGTTCTATTCTGGGGTGGCGAGCGAGATTACATATGTAAACCAGCGCTGGTTCAGTCAGTCATAGCTACTGGGTGTCTTCCAAACATCAAGGTAGTGACACGAGACGGAGGCCATTGGGCTCTACTTGAGAAGCCAGCAGAGTTTGGCCAAGATGTTTTAGAATGGCTAGGGACGGCATTTGGGGCATGATGGCTTTTTAACACTCATCTGTGTGACAAGAAGAAGAATTACACTTTCACGCCTCATGCATCTCATATTATTTGACCCATGTGTTCCAAATCTCCAAGTCCATCAAATATAACTCCCTGCACTTCGCATTCTGATATGATGAAATCTCTTCTTCCCATACTCAACCGTCTTTACCCAATTCCATATGAATATGCACAGAAATGCCACCAAAATCAGAAGCATGGAAACCAGGGGTGTGAAGATTGCGAAGATGGTGAATCCATACGATGCCGTCTGAAAGGCTTCTTCGTCCCCTAGCGATGTGCCTAGGCCAACTTGCATTGCGGTAAGCACGAGGGCGACATATATCGTTGCAGAGGTCAGCCATGCCAGGTTATTGCGGAAAAAGTCACCGTAACGACTGAAGAGTGGCACGTATGCGGTACCGGCAGTCAGGTACTGCAGCATGTTGAGTCGGCTCTGACGCAGCTCGCCATAATAGAACCGCTCATCAATCTGACTGTAGAGCTCCTGACTCAGAAGCTCCCCAACAAAACATCTCCAGCCGGTCCAGCTGACTTCTCCAGGCAGTAGGTTCGCCTCCTTCGCAAGGGAGAAGTCGCTCTCGTGGCGGATCAACGCGGCGTAGGAGAATAGAAAGCCCAAGGCACACCGTCGGATCCGTAGGTGCTGACAAGGGATGACCATTTGTAAATTACAGTCATTGGTACATGCAAGATAGTTATGCCACAAATAAGGCTCGAGCAAATATCGTGGAAGGGGCTTGATATAGATCCGTCCGCTCATCCAGACCAGATGGAGGTCCATCCTCTCTACAAAGCATGCTTGGAGGTGGAGCGTGGCTTTGGGACATACAGCCTCACAGGGAATAACCGTCAGACCTTTGTTCAGAGATTGGCGGAAAAGGTTGTCAGTGAGAAGTCGGAAGACTGGGACTGGTTCCAGCGCGTATCCTCGAAGAGGTCCAACTCTCACACATCTAAGAACATTGGTCTTCCTGCTGGTGTTGCGAGGCTGTGCAGCATGAGGCTGCTCGAGATCAAAACAAGTGGGCAACTCACTGACACGACAATAGTGCAATTTATCGACAGACAGATTCAAGGGCTGCAGGAGTATGAGCGCATCCTGGAAGCCGAAGTCCAGCTCATCAGTCCGACATCCCGCTGACCCCGGGGACATAGGAGGGGACGGTACTGGCGGTGGTGATGGGGGAGGAGGTAGTGGTGGCGATGGCAGTGGTGGTGGGGGAGGAGGAGGAGGAGGATGCTGAGCTCAGTCAGTAAACCTGCTGGTTCTCTCAGCAGGCAGCATGGAAGCCCGAACCTCCAAGGGGAATTGCAAAAATCCCGGAACTGAACCAGGCAAAAGTGAATGCAATGCAAAAAAAGAATCGCGACCACGCCAGGAGTCGAACCTGGAATCTCTAGAGGAAGTGTGAGAACCGAAATCTAGCGCCTTAGCCATTAGGCCACGCGGCCTTGCTGATGGAGATTTTACAAAGGTAAATGAATGCTAGTGCAGTGGGTGAATGGGTCATGCCCAGCGACCCGACCTGCTGTGTGGAATACTTGGTGGTTGGCTGTGAGGTGGTTTGTCGAGGACGAGATATTGTGTCACATAGCAAAAGGTAAATTGCAAGCTTACAGCTTATTGTAGGTGGGGTTGCAGAGGTCTATCGCCCAAACACTGGAGTAGGTAGCAAATATCGTCGAGTGGCCAACGATCACCTCCAGCATGGTTGCACACGTGTAAGAGACTGATAGCCACAGGCCCTCAACACTCAAAGCATCCCAACAGCGTAGCACTCAAATTAGTCTTCCTGATACATGCTGCCAAGTCGGAGCCTCCGTCGCATGGACCCGAATATGGCCGTCATTACGAGGGTATGCAGCCTGCCTTGTCACCCGGGAGCAACTGGCAGCCTGAGAAAGCCTGCTACTAAGCTGCAGCCTCCCGGCAAACATGCACCCTGCATGCAGTACCATATCAGTCCCTTCTTCCTCTTTTCTCTTTTCTTTCGACTCTCAGTTCTCTTCCTCAACACTTCCACATTTCACAACCTCCACCTTCTTGCCTGCACAAGGCACACCACGCCTCGCCAGGCAAACACCCTCTCTTCTCTTGACAAATTCGACTGGTTCAAGCTAGCCCTTATTCATTTCCGTTATATTCACTCCGCTCATGGATTACGGTTCCTGAATCCTTTCCTAGTTCACCACTCCCCTGTATCTGGTGGTTTGACGCCGAGTGGTGGGATAGTGAGAGCACTTTCCTGCCATCTCGCCCCTCATCTTTCACGAACTTGCTTCGTGGTGATACACACGAACGTGAATGAAGAAAATCCATGGTAAATAAATCTTACCCGCTCGTCACTCGCCTGATCAAAACGCTCACTAAATACAGGTCACACCTGAGCACAACATCAAAATGGAGCCCAGCATCGAGCCAACGAACCGAAATCACGCCTTGGACAGAGCATGTGCATCTATCAAGGACTGGCTGGAGTCTGAAAAGTCTCCTGCACGCCAAACATCGTGGCAGCTCTCCAAGGAGAATGTCCCCCCTTCAAAGCCCAAACCCGTCTCCGTCGCTACGACGGCAGCGCAGGCCAGCAGCCCAACCCAATTGCAAAGTCCAGTCGCGACAGACTCGCAAGGAGCCTCTGGCCAGAACATTCCGCGCCTGGGACTCTCTCTGTCCACGAACCTGAAGGTTATGCAGGCCGCCATGAAGGACCAAGACTCCCTACCTGCCATGTCGGAGTGTGGCCACCACCCCTGGAGCATGAGTGATGTGACCGAAGCTCCCGCCGATTTTGCAGACTACAGTGTAGAAGATTTGGTGTTTTCGGACGTTGCCTCTGATGCCAACAACTCTCCGACCGCCCTCCGCGAACGGGCAGAGCTTTGGAAACCACGATCCTCAGATGGCCTGACGAGCATCGTCACAGCGTGGCTTAGCACATTGTCTAAGAACCCAGTGATCAGCTTGGTATCCCCGGAATCCCAAGACTATATCCACGAGCTATGCAACTGTGACTTTGATACAGAGACTGGGCTACCGATTCCTGCCGTTCAACTACCAGACACCATGCCGAGACCAGTCCTTGGCCCATGCCGCGATGCGGGCGATGTGGCTTGGAGGGCACAGAATATGTCGTCCACACTGGCGCTGAACCAAGAGATAGAGAGACGGCAGGCAATTGCCGATAGGCTGCGCAGGAAGATACAGTACCAGGAAGAAGAGATGAAGGCTGCCACCGAGGTCACGGAGATCCAGTGGCCCAACGCGAAATGCCTTATCAGGCCGGCCACCACGCTGGACTTTCCTCGTCTTGTTGAGATCATCAACTTGGAGGTTCAGTCAAAGCCATTCTCCCAGATACCCGCAAAGGAGCCATTCGGACTGCCGGCTATTGAAAGGCTTTACCACGACTGCAAGGCTACACTTCGTCCATTCATCGTGGCTGAAACTCTGGGGGAAGACTTTACTGATCGATCCAAGTGGCCCAAGGATTCCGACGATGTCTATGCGAAATTCGTCAAGTTACACAAGTCGACGCCGTCCGAGGCGCCTGTCATTGTCGGATTTGCCTTTGTCACAGACTCGCAGATCGGGTTCCTCAATGCATCGTCCCAGGCGTTCCGCTTCTCGGGGCAGGTTAAGCTTATTGTGCACCCTGATCATCGGCAAAGGTCATACGGAACCGCCCTCATGGACAGAGTGCTCCAGACCGTTGGCCCTTATTTCCAGAGCGTGATTGATTACACGTGGGAGTGCGAGTCGCCGGGACATATATACGAATTCCCGCCAACGGCGAACCGTCGCCAGTACACCTCGCTCAGACTTGAGCTGTTTTCTGAGGAAGGTAAAGGCCCGGAATCCACTTGGATGAACAACATGCTGGAGAAATTCAACTTTGAGCAAGTGGCCACCTTCCCAAGGGCCGGCAGGACGATCCAAGGGCATCCGAAGCAGTGGCTGGACCTCTCAGTGTGGCAGCTTCGGGTACGACCTTTTGCAGAGATTGAGGAGGTTGACTATTGAGGTGGCAATGAGGGAGGGGTTATGTGCACCGATGGAATGTTGAAAAGGCCGATGTTTGAAGTTGGGTTAAGCATATGGGTGTGATTGAAGGAAGGGTTGGCCGCATCCATGAGTAGACGCATTACAACCCGGTGTGCGGCTGTACAGCGCACCGTTCGACTTCTGCATATAGCTAGGCGGAACAAAGCAAGGGAATAGTAGTAGAAAGCTTTGATGAATGAGATTAGAGTTCGATTCTGCTTCACTGCCTGCTGAGAATAGATGATCCGTGTTCCGCCATGGGCAAAGGGTTATATAGTAAGTCGTGAAACTCGAGGGAAGTGAAGAAAAGGCAATTGACTGCATGTGTTCCGCGTCGGCCGTCCGTAAACGATGGGTTTGTTGCGCGTTGGTGGAATCACGAAAATGCGACTACCATCAATTGCGAGGAGTAGAATTACGGGGAAACGCGGTAGTGCCAGGAACAGAACTTGACGTCTTCATCACGTGGGACTGCGTTGGACATCAACGACGTGACGAGCATCCGCTGGCCGTCTGCCTCATCAGCGACAAAAACTGAATCGGCACGCAATTGCTAAGTGAAGAAAAGGGTCGACCTCTTCAATCCGCCACCATGCTGTCCATTCTCCGGAAAGCGCGGTTCAAGGACAAGGAGATGCGAATCCTGATGCTGTGAGTCGACAGCCAGCTACCCATGCCGAAGAGCTCATGTTCACAGGCAAGCGAAGTGGATTGGACAATGCCGGCAAGACGACGATTGTCAAGAAGATCATGGGAGAGGACGTCAATACCGTCAGCCCAACCCTGGGGTTCATCATCAAGACGATTGACTACGAGGGGTAAGTCCGCATATCCTCCTACGAAAACCGGCCGGCTCAACGTTGTTTAGATACAAGTTAAACATTTGTATGTGCGATCAAATACAGCCTGCAAGTTTGCCGCTGATCATGTAGGGGACGTGGGAGGACAAAAGACGTTGCGATCGTACTGGCGGAACTACTTTGAGAAGACGGACGCCCTGATATGGGTGGTGGATTCCACGGACCGACTCCGGATAAGTGACTGCAGAGACGAGCTGCACGGGCTCCTCCAGGAAGAAGTAAGGCTGCGGTGACTTGATGATGGGAGAGCATACCGCTGACGACATCTGGGCAGCGTTTGGCCGGCGCGAGCTTGCTGATCTTTGCCAACAAGACCGACGTGGAAGGGTGCATGAGCGAGGGGGAGATTCTCACGGTGAGCAAACACAGCAGCCAAACGAGGCGGGCAAGAAAGGGCTAACCAGGGCCACCTATGTGGACGAAACGCCAGGCGCTACAGCTGGATGCCATCCGCACGCACCAGTGGCATGTGCTGCAGTGCAGCGCCATGACGGGCAGAAACCTGAAGGAGGGGCTGGCGTGGGTGGTGGAAGATGCGAAGAAGCGGCTGTTTCTGTACTGATGAGGGAGAAGAAGAAGAAGACTTTGTTTGCCTGGTCGCTTTTGAGACAGGATATGAGACAATGGCTTCTGGGTGTTAAACCGGGGAGGCCAGCCGAGCAAGTCGCTTGATCTATCCCTCTATTCCAAACCCCTCTTGCTGACATGTCCTACGAATTCACTGCTCAACTTGCTTTTTGTGGTGAGAGGGGCGTATCCAGGAGAACGAGAATAACAATAAACAACAATCAAGTTGGAAAACTGGGCACCGAATCCGATGGGCTCCATAGCAGGGAAAGTCCATCAACTGGGCATCCATTCTTCTCCATCCAAGAGGTGCCATACGATATTAGTGACGTCTTGGGCATGAGGACATGATTCTTCTTCCATGTGAAGAAGCCTCACTCTTGTCTAATTTGCATGTCAACATGGTTTGGTTCGGGCCCTGCAATGCAACCAAGGTTGTGCATAAGTATATCAGAGGTGCCTGGCAGCTCTTCCACCTCTGGTTTTCATGCGTCATGCCGCCGCCCGTCCATTGTTTGTCCGAGCCCGCCATCACAGCACGCACTAAGCACCCGTCGCCAGGGGGAGTTAAGGGTCAAAGTGCTAAAAAGGCAAGGCCGGGCCAGGGGCACTCCAAGCCAAACAAGCCAAACCGTGGGCGCCATTTTCCCTCTCTCCTCTCTGCCCACAGCGTGGAACCGGCCAGCCAGGCGCTAAACTAAACTTGCCCGCCGATCCAGCAAAAAATCAACAACAAGACCACCAAGTCCCATCCTCCTCGCCAAGGGCAACCGACCGGATTCCGAGGAGCACCACACCAGCCAGCCAGCACATGTCATGCCCCCCTCCCTGCCTCGCACCACTACTACCGCCAGACATGTCCGACGAAGTTTCTCAGTTCCTCGAGCAAGTCGAGCGCCTACGCGGCCAGCAGATCGAGGAGGACGAAGTAAGAGCTCGTGAGCTTGAGGAATATCTGGCTGCCAAGCGCGAGAGGCAGGCCC